TGCCTGTCAGCTCTGGGAATACCATCAGGGTTGCCTCTTACTCTACTCCAAGTGCCTCTGGTGGGCAGGTAGCATTAATGGACAGCCATTGCAGTGTACATGGCAGGAGAAAGGCAGTCCACAGTCTGTATGGGTATCCTTTTCATCAGGGTCTAGTGCCCCTTGCGTCACCTCTTGCTCTCTATCTCATTCCCCTGTTCATGTCCTTCTGCTTTAATAGCCAGTCGCCCAGCAAGAGACATCGTGCCTGTTGCTGACATAGTGACTCTCTTGAGAGATGCCAGTATGTTTCTCCATAAATACTTTAGTATTTTATACACAATGGAATAGCATCAACAGAATAGCTGGAGAACACTTTCCTCTAGAACAGCCCATGATGTAGTCTTATCAGGCATGGAAAGGTGGGATTTTAAGCAAAAAGGGAATCAAATACTTGTCTCCCACCCTCTCTATTCTAGGCAGTGAGCTATTGCTCAAAAGCAATAGTCCGCCTTTCTGCCCATATTTATTAAGATTGTGCTTTGTGTCTTTCATTTTATCACAAGTGGCTGGAAATGAAATATTCTGGAAATGGCAGAAAAAGTTGGTTTCAATATTTCTGAACTATTTCTTTCAACCCAGCATGAACTCTATTCAAAAAAGGATTTTGTAAGCTTTGCTTTTGGCTAAAATTATAAGAAGATACTGACCTAAATGTACAGTGATTATTGGTTGTCCCAGAAGCATGCTTTTCAGTAAAAAAGGTACTTGAAAAAAATATGATCCAGCTGTCCTGTCCCTCTAACTGTCTAGTACGATGGACTAATGAGCAATATGATCCAATATTTAGACTGAAGGTAGAGCTGATTTTTATAGCACTGGAGAAGATCCCAGAGTGGACAGAAAAGCAGAACAGACCCTTGTATAGACTTTAGTGTTTTGAAAAGCCAGGAAGCATACTGCAGCAAGTGGTCCAAAAAGTCTCATGAAATTATGTGAAGCTGTTTCTGAGGCTTGATCCATTGAAAAATTTTTGGAAGTAACACTAATCTGGAAGAAAAATAGTGTTCAGATAGGTGTCAGCTTCCATATTTTATTACATTTTTGTGTATATATATATACAGCTTATATATGTATAACTACATATATAGTTATATGTACAGTTTTATATTAATCATGACTAGAAAATTTTGCCTTATGTCATGCACACTCTCTTTCTGTTTATATGTATACATATCTGTATGTATAAATATGCACACACACATGTATAAATATATATATTCAGCATAAGAAAGCTGGGTTTTCCAGTTTTGACCAAATACACTGAATACATATGAAAGTATATACAATCAGTACAGACTGACTATATATATGTTAGAGTGGCCTTTGTAATGTTTTTTTAAGTAACACATCTGGAAGAAAAATAGTGTTCAGATAGGTGTCAGCTTCCATATTTTATTACATTTTTGTGTATATATATATACAGCTTATATATGTATAACTACATATATAGTTATATGTACAGTTTTATATTAATCATGACTAGAAAATTTTGCCTTATGTCATGCACACTCTCTTTCTGTTTATATGTATACATATCTGTATGTATAAATATGCACACACACATGTATAAATATATATATTCAGCATAAGAAAGCTGGGTTTTCCAGTTTTGACCAAATACACTGAATACATATGAAAGTATATACAATCAGTACAGACTGACTGTATATATGTTAGAGTGGCCTTTGTAATGTTTTTTTGTGGTGTTTAAAAGGCACTCTGATTTGAAGGTTATGAATCAGGTGAGCCTTTTATATAACAAAATAGAGAAGGGAGAAGCCAGGAGAGACCTCTGTCAGATGCTTTCCCAAATGTCTCTAACAGCAGCGACTGAATCTTCTCCGTTCTGGGGAGCACTGGAGTTACACCTCCAGCTTTTGCTGACACAGAGACTTCTGTTTCCACTTTGTTGGCATGAAATGCAAGATGGCAATCAGGTGGGGATAAAAATGTAAATATTAAATTAATGTTTCATTTTTATTGTGTTTGTGTTAGTTGTTTACAAATAAATAGATAACTGAATAGAAACACAGTTAATCAGTTTAATATGCATGAGCACATACCTCAATTTACAGTACTGTCTGTATCAAGGTATGAGAGTGAGTTAGTGTCATCAAGGCAATTGCGCACTGAGGCTGAGTTACACACCCCAGTAGCAGAACTAAAAGAAAAAGCTCCTTTGAAATGGCAGAAATGTGTTGCAGTCACAGCAGGTTGTCCAAGTTGTGCAAGATGTGGAGGGATGAACCAGTTCTGCTGACAAGCAAGCCCCTGCATCCTAATTCAGCCTCTAGCTAAACTTCAGTCAAGTTCCTCCCTGTTCCTGACGTGTGAGGTATGAGAGTTTCTTATACTGAAGGCGGTCACTGAGGAGGCTGCTGGACAGGACAAACTGCCAGTGGCTGCCCCATATTAACCCTTTCCACTACTGGATTTACTGACAAGCCAGCAAGCAGTGGAAATTTTTCTGCACTCAGATAGACAGGAACAAACTCCTCAGCTGGAAAACCTAATCCCTTCTCCTGTCAGGGTACTCCAGAAAATCAACTGTCAAAATTTCCCCAGTCTGAAATAACGTTAGTAGGACCCCACATTTTCATAAAGACCTTTGTCTGTCCTCTTAGAGTTTATTTCTCCTCTCTCTCTGCCTCTTGTGCAATGTTTTTGCAAATGGATTAAATATTAGATTCTTGCCATAGTATATATGGGAGCCGACATATACTGAGCCAGCAGTACTTGCCAGATATATTATATGCCAGCTATCCCACATCAGATACACTGTGCTGGCAGGCATACTGTGCCAGCTTCTGACAGCAAATGCTACGCCAGCTTCTGCAGTTTCTGACCAGGTCAGCTGTGGAATTATAGAAAGTAAGGCTAGACATGACATTGCAAGTTGTGTAGTTTATCCCTCTACCCAAAGACAAGATCAGCTGCTTCTGAAACATTCCTGAAAGATGACCATCTTACTGGTTCCTAAAACCAAGCAGTGATAGTAATTCCACAATCCCAGGTTAAATTATTCTAGTAAATAACCATCAGACAGTTGGTACTGCTTTTTTATAATGTCTAATATAAATCTTCCTTGCTACAATTTATGCTTATTACCTCTAGTTCTGTTCTGAGAGAATGAGGAGCATAGTTTATATTCTTCTTCTTTGGCAGTTACCTTTAAAATATCTGAAGAATGTTACCCCATTTTCCTCCCACAACTCAGTCATCTCTTTTATAGACAAAATAAACATAATTCCTCTGGTCCTTCTGTACAGGTCTTATTCTTTAGATTGCAGTTCATTCTCATTGCACACCCCTGGACTCTTTATGAGAGTTAAAGTAAAGGACAACCATTAAACAATATCAACTCATGACTTTGCTATAATCAGAGAATTTAAAATGAAAGCGCGAGGGTGAATTGTTATTTCTTTCCAGAGATGTAAAATAGTCTATTCTTTCATTTTTTCAATGAGATCTTTTACCTCTGCTAACCTGAGACAATTGTTGAGGTGCTTTGAAGGCAGTACCACCTTAGGCTCTATTTTGCTTGTAATTGTCATAGATGCAATTGTATAGATATCTGCCAAACTCTCTGCAAGGAAGGTATGACCTCATTACACTGGGAAGAAAAGAGCACACATGGTCCCTTAATCTAGTAATAGATATTGATATCTCATTGATACTATTTTACATGGAGGAAATGTATTTCTTTGTGTTTGAAAAGATCACTGTGAGAAACAGCTGTATAATTCAGAGGTTGTTTGAGAACCCTTATTTGCCTGGTCTGCTGCTGGAGGGCTGTGACAAGTTCCTTACAGGTCTCACGCTTCCTTAAGTCGACACTCTTTGAGCCACTTTTAGTTGACTGAGTGGTGATGTCACCCCATCAGATTGAGATAATTGTAATGCACCAAGAGGGGGAATCTGCAGAGACTGCAATATGGAAGAGATTTTTCCACTCTGTTATTCACAGGGTGCTAGCATACACACTCTCATCCCTGGTATCCAACTTTGACTTAAGGGAGCAAGCACACAGCTTGAAACGTGTCCCCAGATCCCTGTCTGCACCCTGCTGCAATAACAATGCAGATACAAACAGGAACAGAGCATCCACCTGATGTGGCTCTGTGATATGTCAGCAGTTGGAGCAGTGGTTGAAAAAGCACAAAACACCACAAGCCCCTCAGCTGAAGAAATCCTAACAGTGACCACACATGACTGCGGTACACACTGGAAGTGGCACAGATACAGATAATGTATGTGTCCGCAGCGACAGGCTTTGCAGGTAGGTTCAGTAAAACTGTTTAGACATGCCAGGAGCCCTTACTCAGCTGTAGATTGCCATGCTGATGTCTCCTAACAGAAGAGCCATGATGAGAAGCAACAGCAGTATATACCCTTTTCCCCTCACAAAGATGAAAAAGACACCTTTCAGGTGCTGAATATGAAATTTGTTTAGCTGTGTTTACTCTTCTCTTTGCCAAAGCCAAGTAATTTATTGAACAGACATAAACAACAGGTGTTCTTGATATCTCTTCTACATGCAACAAGGTCAAATGCCGTAAAAGCTCCAAATAATCCTTATTATATATTATGTCCTGTGCCAAAGCACTGTAATAAAAGACTGATCTGTGCATGGAGACAATTTGTATCTTTAGTCCCACTTGGACAGAAGGAAAAGATCTTTTCTCTCCTTATTTTTCCCCAAATTAAATGTTTTTTGAGAGGTTAGTGTATTTTTCAAACTTTCCCATCTTTAAAAACAAAACCTTAAAAACAAGAAAGGAAACAACATAAAATAAAAAATAATCCTTAATCAAAGGACTTAAATTTTAATTATTTTCTACTTTTTAGTTTTATTTTCCCAAGGTATTTCCCTCCCCAGCTCCCCACTGGTCAACGCTGCCGGGTGAAATGATTTTTCAGCAAATACAGTTCACTTCTGGATTAACAGTGTCTCTTACCTTTATGTAACAGTAAGGATGGCAGCTTGTCATTGAAACATTTGTTCCTTGCAGATGTTCCCTGCCACAGCTCACTTTCCAGTTCTGAATGTGCTGAATCTTTCTTTCCTCCTTTTCGGTCTGTGTGATTAGTACCATTATTCGGATATCTTTGGTACTGTTTCCTCTCCTTCTTTCTACATGTGCTGTCAGATGAGTGATGAGTTGGGTGCCTCCATGAGAAGTTTATTCCCATCTCTTCATTTTAAGTCATAACCACTGGTCTTGCCAGACCACAAAGCAAAGTTTTTCTGGGCTCTGCCTGACCAGCAATTCCAGGGTGTAATTTCACCACCTAAAGGGCAGGGAGGCAAAATAGTCTGCAAGAATCAACTTGCAGACAGGGAGTTTACATAAGTGCAGTGGATTGCCATAGTGCTGGAGATTATGCTAGCCTATAAAAGAAAATCTTAACCGTCACCACTGTAAACTACAGACACATTAATATTTGGTCAGTTGCTCTTTTGACTTATACAGAGAGGTTATTCAAGCATGTCCTAAAACTACTGCACATTTACTGAGGAAATTGAGGAAATAACCTGCATATTTGTCTCTGACACAAATAACACAAAGTATATCCCTATGAATCCCTTTTTCCACATTGCTAAAATGAATTGGCTCATTTGTTCCATATTTAAATTATTTGCCAAGCCAACACCCACAAGGCATGCCAATTGACACCAATCACAGTATTTTTTACGACAGTAAGTCTTTTCCGCTGAAATGTAAGCCAATCAGTAAAGTAGTAGCTAATAATACTGAATACTGCTTTGCAGTGCTTCATTGTCCATACAAAGAATCATTAGCAAACACAGAGTTTTATATTTCATAAATAATATATCCTAAAAAAGGATTGGCTCTATTTAAGTCAGCTTAGTTGAGAAGAATTCATGAGATAGAATTTCTTAGGTTTGTTCAAAATGGTGGTACACTCAAACATTTGATAAACGTTTCTCAGACTTCCAATCTCTGCCTACTGCCTTTGCATGTAAATATCCCCAAATTATTTACAAGTTTGAACATATAAAAGATCACTGATGGCATCAACAATAATTGTCTTAGCCTTTGAGAAGGATTAAACTACAAAAGCAATGTCCTAGATCGCAAATTCCAGCAAAAAATAATTTCCCACAAGAGTACCCCATGCATGGGTCAAAGAAAACTGAACGCCTGAGCACACAGAAAAAAACATCGGCCACAGATTCCTTTTACTGAGGGTGGCTCTAACCATTGCTGGGGAGCAGCAAGATGCCCATACCCCGCCAAAGTTCTCAGTATATCAGACATACCAGAAACAACAAACCATGTGTTTCTGAAGAACGTCATAGCTTAATCAAAGGAAGTTTCACTGATGGGATTGTACCTTCCAAACATAAGGGCCCTCTAAGCTCTCCTTGAGCAATGCAGTTTGATATCACCCTCTGCATGAGGGTTAGGAGTGCTAGGTACAGTCCAATTTCAAGACAGTATAAATGGTTCCCACTAAGATGAAGAGTGAGGAAAGCAGGAGCTTTGGGGGACAAAGAAAACCCAGCATACAAAGTAGTTCCATTCTTCCTTCCTGTCAATTCTCCCTCACCTCAAGGCCAACATAAGTTTTTCCCAGCAGAGTTATGGACCCATATCAGGACTTTAAAGCATCTCCTTATACCTGGCCTTGACCTTATTATGCTGGGAATTTTTACATACCCATCTTTTACATAAATTTTTACTCCTTTGTGGCCTAAAACAGGCTGCAGAGGAGTTAGATGCTGTCTCAGTTGCACCTTTCTTGTGCTTCCTTCCATCCCAGTGGAATGATTTTCTTCAGAAGCTGTGATCCTGCAAGAATTCCCTGATATGTTCATTTTTGTATAGCTTAGAGGAATTTGATAATTCACTAAATCAACTCCAGACATTGTGGAATTCCTTATTAAGCATCTGATGATGTGGTCAGGTCCATCCACTTCATAGCCAAGTACAACAGAAGTGTGACTTCTGCTCGCCTGCCCTCCACTTTAGAAACATGCATCTTCTGGACATCAAGGGAAGTGACTATTAGTTCAACATTGTCTATGGATGGCTCTCAGCCTCCTGTGCAGCCTGTTTGACCTTTAGTGGTATCTAGTGGCTAATGAGTTTGTAGGGGAAATCTTCACAATTAAATGGCAATTAAGCCAGTGAAAACTGATTTCATCTTCATATGTGGAAGCGGGAAGAATGGAGCTTGCAATGCATCAAGACAGTGAGGACAGGTTGCTGGCTGCCAGGATGCCTTACTGGTCTAAACCAGTCTCCAGGCATTATTAGGCCATGTGACCAAATTAGTTTCAGTGCTAATTTACAGAGCTTCTGATGAGAGACTCTCTAATTATGGTTTGGAGCAAGGACTGTAGGTAGTTAAGGAGTTAGCATTAGCCACCTTTTGCAAATCAAAGTGTTATTTTTGCTACTTTGTTGATTATAAGTTCTTTGTTCCATAAAGCCATGTGAGACACTCTTTTGTATCACAATGTGAGTGCCTCTTACTGTTACCCTTAAAAATGTCACAACAGATTTTGATATTGCCTTGGCAGAAGAACTGCACCTCTCTTCCTAAATGAGATTCACTAGTATTTTGATTTTATCAGATGTCACAATACTTTCTTCTCTTGTCTGGTATTAAAATATATAGAGAGCAGTATGCTGGACAGTGACAACCCACAGTTTAGAGTCAAAAGATGTTTGTCTCATAAATATATGTTTCCATATTCAGGCACCATACTGATAAAAGTTGATAGAGACCTCTAGCTCTGCTTGAATAAGTCTGCAATTTTTAAACTGCCGTCTTTTTAATGCATCAGTTTTACACAAAATTCAGCTGTATGCAAACAGAAGCAATTTAATATGCACTGTAGATGAAGTAGTCTGCCCAAATGATTTTTTAAAAATAATTCCAAATGTTAAAAATTCAAGCCAAAATATATATATGAAAAATTTCCATAGGAAGTGTCTCCACACGTGCAAAATATCATGCATGAATTAATGTATGCATCCCTGTTGTTACTCGGTAGCTCTATAGGGGGTGAGAAAATGGCTGGGAGTATAGCATTTACAATCCTTGAAAACTTCCAAAGAAAATTAGTATTTACATTATGTACCTCCTTATATTCATGTAACAAAAAAGGTCTGATGCAAAGTTTAGTATTGCTCATCATTTGAGCTAACTGAAAAGGTATTTTTTGAGGATGCTTTTCAGTGAAATGTTTTCAACTAAATTCTTGCTTTTACTGAGATATTGTCAGATTAGACCAACTTTGCATGGAAGCCTGGTAGGAAATGCAGGAGGAGATATTTTGGCCATTGTATGCCTGCAAAATACTATGTAGTCAAATCTCTTAGCACAGCTAAGATGACAAAAATACTGTAATATGCCATTCTGGGAGTCATTGATAAAGTAGTTGCTTCTGTATTCTAGAAATGCCTCCTTTTTCCTGGGAGCTACCACTTCCTAAACATGCCACAAAGCAGCATGCCATAATCTCTTAGGTCACCTTTTTAAAAGAAGAAATGAATGTTATTTTAGGACACAGAACATGTCAATGAGTCACAATTCACTATTTAAGAAAGAAACAAGAAAACTTCCCTCAGCGGACTAATGAATGAGATACATTAATACAGCAAGTCGTTCTTATTTCCTTTGGTGAGGGATATGCTCACATTCTGGCAGCCAATAAAGCTTGGGAGGCCAGAAAATGTATTTGGGCCAATTGAGTGTGTTTGTCTGCCAAATTAAATAATAGACCAGAGACACTGGAACAGGACTAGAGGATGTAGAAGATAAGTGAAAGCAGTGCCAGCTGAGAGGTCTAATGGTCTTACTGGAAAGTGGTTTGAACAGCTTGCAGCTGAGATGAGACAAAAAGTCCATGTGGATAGAGAAGCCCATCTGTCTCTGAATGCGTTTTTCCACTTAGTGTTTAGGAAAGATGCAGAAATGATTTGGGTTCCTTGATTTGCATAATGAAAGGAAAATGGGAAAAGATGGTCATGTTCTTCTGACACTGCACTATGACTTCAGATCAGCTTTTGCTTGTTCAAGAGAAAACCTTCTGCTTGAAGAAGCATTGAAGCATGTGCCTAGCTTCAAACAGTTCCCTATTAATAAAACTGAATGAATAGCCAGAAAATTATCTACAACACATAGCTGATTCTAGCAGCGAAGAAGCTTTATCCAGATGAAACTGATTGAACATATAAAATAAATGCTTTCTATGGTTCAAGACATATTGACTGCATACCTGGGAAGTCCCAGAAGAATGTCTCCTCCAGAAGAGGTGAGTATAGAGAAAGAAAACCCTACTGGAGTTACCCAGCATCCCGGAGGCATGAGGCTGCCTAAACCAAAAGGTAGTCTCTAGTCATCTTCTAGTGTGCAATAAGCTGTCAGCTGACAGCTGGTCGGAGAGTTTATTATTTTCCGTGCAATGGTGGCCTTTAGAGAACTAATAGCTTCTAGCTAAAAGAGGACTCATTGAACAATTCAGGTGTGATTTAAGCAATCAGTAAACAGTTAGCAAGTTTAGGAATGTTGCTTAAACTGAGGTGGATTTTGTTCTTAAAGGTTTATATTTTTCAAGCATGGTTCCCCAGCAGTCTAAGTGTACTGTATACTTCTCTCCCTCCAAATCCCAGAATAGAGAAGATTGAAAGACAGGTGCTAACAAAGTTGAAATAATTTTTTAAATTTATACAGTGTCACCAGTGTGAGCCATGTTTGCCTAAAAGATGTGGCAATACAGTATGTTTGCCAAAATGCTTAAAATCTGAAACAAAGTTACATTTATATCCAACATGTTAGATTAAAACAAAATATCCAAATAATTTAGATTTTTTTTTTTTTTTTAATATAACATTCAGGTCTAAACAGAGTGGACTAAACAATTGTTGTTAAGGCAAACATAAAAGTTATGGCCAGATTACATAAAAATATTTTAGGGGAGATATTTGGAACCTGGGTATAGTGAACAGTTCTAGGTACTGGTGGACAATGGAATATGCTTCAGGGAGAGCAGTAGACAAAGAAGGAACAGTCTAATGATTATTGTTGTCTTTATAGGCTCTACTGTGCTAACCCTGAGTCACAAATAGGAAAAAAACCCAAACATTTTTTCAAAGTAGTTCCTTCCCAGAAGAATTTACCTACCTAGTGAAAGAATAAAATATAGAGATGAAATAGGTATGCAGTAGGAAAGAAGGCAGAAGCATAAAAAGAATAATGAACATTCTTGCTTATTTTTAACTG